CATCCACAGGCCTGTAATTAATCCTCACATGTGCATTACGCAATCAAGCAATCTCCTTCATACTCTCCTTTAAGTGGCTGATTGTCAGTAAATATGTACGGCATGATCATTATTCTTTCATCACATGATTTTAAAATGTAAGAATTATAGTATTATCAAACAATATCTTTTGTATCTTGACAGAGAGGACAGATGGAGACACCTAAAGAGCTCTTGGACACTTTGGAGGAGTTGGGGGATGACCAGTTAAAAAAATTCAAGTGGTTTTTGCAGAAGCAAGAGTACCTAGAAGGCTTCCCAGCAATCCCAAGGAGTCGACTGGAGAATGCAGACCGGATGGACACAGTGGATCAGATGGTCGAGAAATACAGCAGAGACACTATGAAAGTGACCGAAATAGTTTTAGTGAAGATGCGTGAGAATGTTCTAGAGAAGAGTTTATCAAACACCAAATCAGAACCCAAAGGTAAGTCATGGTATGAACACAAAGATCAAACTTACATCTCACAAAGACTTTAAATGTAAAAAAGCGAGTTGCACCTTGGCTTTCAGAAGAAGCTACCAAACACACGTCCACCGGAGAAAATACATTGAATATGTCAGAAAAGTCAACGAAACAAAGACAGACAATCCTGTTTTTGTTGCCTCTAATGTTTAGAAGTAGCACACTGGTGTGACTGTAAGATACTGCTTGGACGTCATTAATTCCCTCTGTAATGAAGTAATAAACCTTCTGGTTATTTGGAGACCACAGAGTTCATGCACACATGAAGCACAACATGTCAGTTGATGTTAAATGATACAAAGTCATTTTACAATCGTTAACCTCTTCAGAGCCTTTAGTTATCAAATGAGATGAATAGATTTCATAAATACAGAAATGTGTACACTTGTTAGAAATGACTCTCATTCACTGAAACAACCCCTCATTGATTTTTATCTTTGTTTTATTCATCCAGATATTACTGAGTGTCAGCGGAAACTCAAATCCAACTTTCACAAGAAGTTCCAGAGTGTGTTTGAGGGAATCGCTAAAGCAGGAAACCCAACCCTTCTGAATGATATCTACACAGAGCTCTACATCACAGAGGGAGGGACTGCAGAGGTCAATGATGAACATGAGGTCAGACAGATTGAAACAGCATCCAGCAAACCAGACAGACCAGAAAAAACCATCAGACAAGAAGACATCTTTAAAGCCTCACCTGGAGGAGAGGAACCAATCAGAACAGTGATGACAAAGGGAGTGGCTGGCATTGGGAAAACAGTCTTAACACAGAAGTTCACTCTGGACTGGGCTGAAGGCAAAGCCAACCAGGACATACAGTTCATCTTTCCATTCACCTTCAGAGAGCTGAATGTGCTGAAAGAGAAAAAGTACAGCTTGGTGGAACTTGTTCATCACTTCTTCAGTGAAGCCAAAGAAGCAGGAATCTGCAGCTTTGAAGAGTTCCTGGTTCTGTTCATCTTTGACGGTCTGGATGAGTTTCGACTTCCTCTGGACTTCAACAACACTGAGATCCTGACTGATGTTACAGAGTCCACCTCAGTGGATGTGCTGCTGACAAACCTCATCAGGGGGAAACTGCTTCCCTCTGCTCGCCTCTGGATAACCACACGACCTGCAGCAGCCAATCAGATCCCTCCTGAGTGTGTTGACATGGTGACAGAGGTAAGAGGGTTCACTGACCCACAGAAGGAAGAGTACTTCAGCAAGAGATTCAGTGATGAGGAGCAGGCCAGCAGGATCATCTCCCACATCAAGACCTCACGAAGCATCCACATC